TTTGAAGAGTCCATTGCCAGGATCTTCATTTTATTATATTATACTTTTCTCTTGGAGCCTGGGGTTCTGCTACAACACTCGGAAGGTCCAGATTCGGACTGTAGGCCACCAGTTGACTAGCCCTGCCATTGACTAACTTACTCTAAATGACCCCTTTAATATAAAACTAGTTGAAATATCACAGTAAATGAGTTGTGTTAGTGTAGTACTTGTAACTGGACTGGAAATGTTAGGAAAATGTGGCCATAGTAATATATGTAAATGCTTATTATAAGCACACAATGTGAATACACTAACTTTTTTCACTTTCATGCAGTTAATAATTTCCTTATAGACAGCTGGAAGTGATCTCTTGTACTTTAGCCAAAATCACATTGTTATGCAAAGAATGCAATAGGCTCAGAGTTTGATTGTTTCATTGTAATCATTATAAATTGGTATCAGAGTACATGAGAAGTAAGTTTGTATTTATTCATAAATAAATAGGTAAAAAACTTACCACGGTACAAGAGGACTTGTACCACTAGAAATCAAATGCTTAGATTGATGCATGGAGTAGGGTATGCCAGGCACTCAACTTTACATATGTTTACACTTGTGCAAATACATGTATGCAATAAAGACAGTATTTTGCATTTTTTGTTGTATTTCCATTAACACGTTCCATTTGCAGTTTAGGAATACGTGTCAAAAATGACTGAAGGAGAGGTTGCAACAAATGGTGAAAATGCCACCAGCAAGGACATTCAGGATATTGAAGCCAAGATTATACGCCAAGTTGAGTACTACTTTGGCGATTACAATCTTCCCCGAGACAAATTCCTACAGGAGGAAGTGAGTTGTTAATTTGATTGTGATGAAGATTGACTGAACTACATTCATGCTAATAATGTTGAGATACTTTATTTTGTAGTTGTGGTTCTTATTGATTTTTGTTTTACAGGTGAAAAATGATGATGGTTGGATCAGTATGGAAACAATGACAAAGTTCAAGCGCTTGGCCAGTTTATCCACTGATGCAGAAGTTATCACAGCCGCTCTACGGAAGTCTGAGAGTAAACTGATTGAGGTAAGCCAATCTTATGTTTATCAGATTTACCTTCTTAATCATCTTCTCACACCTGAGAAAATTTGTACTGGATGATGATTGAAGCTGTAAGTACATGAGGGCAACGTTTTACAGTGACAATTGAAACTGCTGACTGGTGGTATGAATGTGTATACCGTGGCATGATGATTCATTTCCAGGTGGCATGTACACCCATGGCATGTATATTGAACCTGCTCTAAGTTGTGTACGGTAAGCAGTTGTTTGCTTATTTGGCCATTAAAATAGTGATTTATCAGTTACAGCTCAAAAGTCACATCTTAGCCTCTCACATTGGCTGCAGCCAAATTTGTAGAGTAAGGGAAATACGTTTCCAGTGCTTCTAAGTTTTCCCTCTGCACATGGTCCATGGCATGTAAAACCTGTCAGCTGTCAGTTAAAGTTCAGCTGATAATTTACTTTTCATTTTCATAATTTAGGATTTAGTAGTTAGAACTTATTGGAATGAATAAGCTGATCTCATTGTACATAACTCTTTATTTTTGTCCCTAGGTGCATGAAAGCAATACCAAGATACGCCGTTCACCTGACCAACCCCTGCCCATTTTTGATGACAAAATAAAGGAAGAAACTATGAAACGAACAGTTTACTGCAAGGGTTTTCCCAAGGATGGCTCTGTGACCTTGGATGATCTCCTTGAATATTTCAAGGCATATGGCCCATATGAGACTGTCTTGGTAATTATTTTTTTCCTTATTGATTATCTACCTTTGTGTATGTATTTGATATTGCCTTTGTGATGGTTCTCATATCTAATTCCAAACAATGTTCCATAGATGCGGTACTTCTTCAACAAGGAAGACAAGAAACAAGGTTTTAAGGGTTCTGTTCTGGTTGTGTTCCCAAAAGAGGAAAAAGCTAAGGAGTTTATGGAGTTGAGTGAAGTAAAATTCAAGGATACAGTTTTGATCAGGAAGTGGCATACAGATTATGTTGAAGAGAAGAAAAAGGAGATTGAGGAACGCAGAGCCAAAAAAGAAGCAAGAAAGAAAGAGAACCAGGATGATGACTTAGTTGAGGATGTAAGTAGGGATCTTGCATATAGTAGATACTTAATTGCTGGAAGAGGATATGTGATAAAAAAAAAAAATTAACTGATTAATTTTAAAATAACTTAATTACATTCCCACAGGAACTAGAAATTGAACTCCCAAAGGGTATCTTCCTCCACTTCACTGGCTTCAGTGAAGGCAATGATATAACTAGAGAGGATATCAAGGAAGCATTGGGAGAAAATGTTGATCAGTGTGCCTGGATTGACTTCAGCCGTGGCATGACTGAGGGTTACCTACGCTTCAAGGAGGCTGACTTCAACAAAATTGTAATGGACAAGTTAGAAGGAAAGATAAAGGTAAGAGAAACTTCTTCAGCATCCTATTATAATGGCAGCC